AGAGCATCTCACGGGACTCAGAAAAAGTTTACATACTAGATTACCAGTTAGTTACAAGGCAGGGGTGTCCAGCCTTTTGGCGTCTTTGGGCCACACTGGAAGAAGAGCTGTCTTGGGCCACACATTAGATACAAAAACACTAACGAAAACTGACGAGCAAAAAAAGGCCCTTGCATAATTTTCGTGAGATCCACCACCAGAGATGAGCAAAATTGATCACATAATAACCCTAATTATGCAGTGGCCCTTTCGATAATCTTTCAAAATTGTCAAGCAGGTCCCAAATTTGTGATCACACTGATACAGGAAATGTCCATATCTAAGTAATAAAACTTAATACAAAAGCTAAAGTAATGTTTCAAGTAACTTAATGATTTTGTGTTGGGCCACATTGATAGCCATCTTGGGCTGCAGGTTGGACACCCCTTTATACAGATGGTTGGATGCCCCTGTGTAAAGCATACAGATCAAGAGCAGCCAGATGGGAGGGATGTGCAGGGCAGGGGTTGTGGGAAGGGGCATGGGTGTCAACACCCTCTCCAAAAGTTCCCCAAACCCCTTTGGCTGGGGTTCTCACAGAGGCATCATTAAGTGGATGTGATTGATTGACAACGTTATTGGTGGTTGAACTCAGTCTCCAGCCTCTCCCTTCTCTGGAGGGAGCGGGGCTGAAAGTTTTTAATGACACTTCTGGCATCCCTACGGACTTACCAAAAGTCACCCCGTGTGGCTAAAAGGGGGTTGCTATGAATTTAAAAACTTTTTTTAAAAAAAGTTCTTTTACCCTGGCTGGGGTAGCTCAGTGGATTGAGCGCGGGCCTGCGAACCAGATAATCGCGGTTCGATTCCCAGTCAGGGCACATGCCTGGGTTGCAGGCCGGTTCCCAGCAGGGGATGCACGAAAGGCAACCATACATTGATGTTTCTCTCTCTCTCTCCTTCCCTTCCCCTCTAAAGATAAATAAATAAAATCTTAAAAAAAAAAAAGTGCTCTTTTTACCTTTATCACTCTACCACTTAGAAAATTCCCAGGGTTTTAGCAGTTCTGTGCCAGGAATGTGAGGAAGATCAAATATATGTTTTTACTTATTTTTAAATATTTTATTTATTTTTAGAGAGAGGGGAAAGGAAGGAGAAAGAAAGGGAGAGAAATATCAATGTGTGGATGCCTCTTGCACGCCCTCCCACTGGGGACCTGGCCTGTAACCCAGGCATGTGCCCTGGCTGGGAATGGAACCGGCGACTCTTCGGTTCACAGGGTGGCACTCAATTCACTGAGCCACACCAGCCAGGGCCAAATGTATGTTTGTATTATATCACAGTATCGTTTCACAGAGGTGACATCTGAGCTGGATCTTGAGTGGGAAAGGTATGCTGGGAGGCGTGGGGCTCACCAGACCTGAGCAAGAGGAAGCCCGGCTGGGGCTCAGAGTGGGGTTGAGAGCCAGGGAGTGGTGGGAGGAGCCAGGCATGCACCTCCTGGATCTGTGAAAGTTAGCCCCAGCACATCTGTTAGCAGAGGTTTGTTGAATGAATGAATGAGTGAACGAAGCTGGAAAAATAAGCAGGAGCCAATTCAGGAAGGGCTCAGAAATAATAACTTTTTATACAGCGACCTGTCTCAAGGGTTGCAGAGACTGGGTAAGGGTTGTGGCTGAGAACAGGGCTCCCTCCCACAACCAGCCCCATGCTGGGCCCAAAGAGAAAGAGGGAGGCAGAAGGGACAGTGCTGGGGCTTGGACTTTTTTGTTTTAATTTTGAGTTTGGACTTAATTCTAGTGGCAGTGGAGGGTCATGGCAGGTTCTAGAGCCAAGGAGGACCTGACAAAATTGGGGTTTGTGGGAGGCCATCATAGACCCCCTGCTCAATGTCAGACCCCCTGGGCTCACAGGTAAGACCCAGGTGTCCTGAAATCCAAAGCGGAGTCTGGTTGGAAAGTGGCGGAGAGCAGAGGTTCTGTTGCCCCTGCCTGGCTTGAGGCCAGCTCCGCCCCATGCTGCACGAATGCAGAAGTTAAGCTCAGCGTTTAACTTCTCTGAGCCTGATCCTGTTCCTGGGACCCTCCAGGCACCCCTGGCTGGCCATTGACACCACTGAGGCCCACTGTAACCTGGCCTCAGTTTGCCTCCTGGTACACCCCTCTTGTCCCCACAAGTTCCCCATCTCTGGGCTCCAGGGCAGCGGGCTGCCTCCCAGGCTTTGCCTCTGCTGGCTTCTTGGCCTGCACTGCTCTCCCCTCACCACCCACCCCCAACTTCCGAAAGGCCAGTGTGAGAGAGAGAGGTCGGGGGAGGAGGGGAGGCCTGGTGGGCAGGGTCAGGGAAGATACGGGAGCAGAACTCAGTCCTTGTTCCAGGGCCACTGAGGGGTCCCAGGGCTCTCCTCCTGAGGACAGTCTAACCTGTGTCCCACCCTCACCACCAGGTAACCCTCCACGGCCAAGCCCGGAGCCGGAGGAGCCACGGCGGCCGGCTCCAACCCCAGCGGAACGCAGCAGTGGCTCCGGAACTCCCAAGCTGATCCAGCGAGCGCTGCTGCGTGGCACAGCCTTACTCGCCTCGCTGGGCCTGGGCCGTGACCTGCAGCCGCCTGGGGGTCCAAGCCGAGATCGTGGGGAGCCCCAACAAATGCCCTCCACGCAACAGCCCACGCCATCTCCGGTCCAGCCCCCCTCCCGGCTCATATGCTTCTCCTCCAAGATGTCCGGCGCCCCCACCTCCCAGTTGAGCCCCAGCCCATCCAACCCTGCACCCCTGCTGCTGGACCTGGGTGTCCCAGCAGGCCAGCCATCAGCCAAGAGCCCCCGGCGTGAGGAAGAGAGGCACGGTGAGTGGGCCTTTGCAGGGTTTGTGCTTGGTGGGGCAGAAGGCAGTCAGGCCCGGCCCATAAGCCCACGGCCTTCTGCTGGGCACGCATGAAAGGAACTGAATTCTAAGCTCAGTCACGCAGTGGTCAGGGGTGGAGTCGGGTGGGCCAGGCCTGTCGTGAAATAACAGAAGTGACGACAGCAGACCCCTACTCGTTGCCCGCCATCAGGGGCTGTTTCCAGGGCTTTAGAGAGAGCATCTCACCAGTCACCATAAGGACCCTGTGAACTAGCCACTCTTGTTAGACTAATTTTTTAAACAAGGAACTTGAAGGCACAGAGAGAGCGAGCGACTCACAGCTGCCACAGCTTCCCAGTGAGGAAGTGGCAGAGCTGGGGTCTTGGCTGCTCTGGAGGCCTGGCTCTTAACCGTGGCCCAAACTGAGGCCCTGAGCAGGCCCTGAGCTGGGAACCCCCAGGAGTAGGTTGCCTGGCTGCCTGACCCCGTGCCCCTCTCCCGCCCTTCACAGGAAGCGCTGTTTCGCCCCCGCCAGGGATATCGCGCTCTGCCCCGGGCACTCCGGGCACCCCGCGCTCGCCGCCTCTGGGCCTCATCAGCCGACCTCGGCCCTCACCCCTCCGCAGCCGCATCGACCCGTGGAGCTTCGTGTCAGCCGGGCCACGGCCTTCGCCCCTGCCCTCGCCACAGCCTGCGCCCCGTCGGGCACCCTGGACCTTGTTCCCAGACTCAGACCCCTTCTGGGACTCTCCACCCTCCAACCCCTTCCGGGGGGGGCCTCAGGACTGCAGGGCACAGACCAAAGACATGGGTGCCCAGGCCCCCTGGGTGCCCGAGGCGGGGCCGTGAGTGGGCCACGCTGCTCCCCGCGCCGCAGCTGCCCCAGAGGAGCCACAGCACACACTGGAATGGGAGCCGGGCAAGCCTCTGTACTGCCTCGGTTTCCCCCCAGGGACCCGCCCCTCTTGGGGGTCAGGAACACTACACTGCACAAGAAGCCTTCACACTGGATGGGGGGCCTGCACCCCCACATACCTGCAACCCGTGGGTCCCCCGACTTACCTGCCCCACTGGGGCCTGACACTGTACCCAGCCGGTTGGGGGAACCACGGGCTGTCTCAGGGAACTGCCCCCAGGGGCAGTGCAGGGAGGGGGGGGGGTGCGAGGGAGAGCGGCCGGCTGCAGCTGTCACCGGCACTTCTGACCAAGTCCTGCTACTGTGGCCCCTGCCCCAGGGCTTAGTGCCTGGTCCCCCCCTGCCCCGAGGGTCATCTGGGGCCAGGGTTCTCTGGGTGCCTTTCTGCTGCCCCGGCCAGGTCTGGGGCCTCGGCCTCGGGATCCAATGAAGCCAAATAAACTCCCTAAGCTGTCTCCCAGAGCCCAGCCCATCACCTTTCTTGGACGTAACCAGGGATCCAACCCATCACGCAACCGTGGTGACTTCAAGCCCCCAGCAGTCGGCCTGGGCCTAGGCAGGTGCCCTGCCCCGTACCCCTCTCCCAGGACCAAGTCCACTGGCCTTCACGGCCCTCGTCAGCCTCCCTGGCACCCACACAAATGTGTCACCCCTGCCAGGCCTTTCCCACCACTGTGAGTGACTTCACTGCTGCCACAAGGCCCCTGCTTATCCCTGGGGGCTGGCTCGACATTGCCTTCCCTGGGTGTGTCCGCTCCAGGGTCTGGACACGAGAGGAGTGAGCCACCCTGGCAGCCGGGCCCACCCCCACTTTCCTTACTACCATGGGCTTCCGTGGTCCATGGGAGTCGCAGTCGGGGCTCCCTGTGCCCTGTGGCAGCCAGACCCACTGTGTTCGGGTGGGACATGAGGTTTTCAGGAGGGCCTTGGACAGGAGGCCTGACCACGCCATCTGCCAGGGGCACTCCACATGTCCTTGACAAGCCTCACCGGCCCTGCGCCCACTGGGCCCGTCAACCAAAGTCCCACGTTCCTCTCCTGTGCAGCCGCCCGGGGCCACCACCTCCCATCTAGGATGTCTACAGCAGCACCTGCCCTGTGGGTCTCCTGGGCTACCCTTGTCCTCAAGGCCCCGTGTCCTTGCCCCCACAGCCGGTCCCCTTTCTCTCCCCAGCTCTGTCCCCCTTGACTGGTGTCTTCTGTCCCCCAGCTGAAATGTCACAGGAGCCACCCCACTGAGCTTCCCTTCCCACAGAACTCTCCCATTACCCAACTTCAGGGCGTGGATGGCAGTGTGCGATGTCCTGTCTCCTTGCTAACACGTTTTCTTGTGTGAATACCAGGAGGGAAGGGACCTGTGTCTGTCCTCTTCTGGTGTCCTCAGGATGGAAGCCACTGCTGAGTGGCAAATGGGGCACATGTGACTGAGTGAGCTTGTCCCCAAGTACACCACTGCAGTGCGATTTTGAGCCAGTCATTCACCTCTCTGTGCCTCATCATTCTCCACCCCGCCCTCACCACCCCAACTTCGGGGAATCGGGCAATTAATGGCTCCCAGAGGACTGATCCAGCTCACCTCCAGGCCTGGGCTGCCTCCTCTCCCTCCCTTTCACAGTCACCCCGGCTGTGTCCCTGAGCTTCTCTCACTCTCCGCCACCCACACAGCACCTCCTCCCAGCCCCACCTGCCGGCCCCTCCTAGGGGCCTGAGGTGGAGCAGCTGGCTCTCAGGACACCACAGACTCCCAGGCGGTGCGCCATGGGGGGCCTGAAGCCCTGGGCCCGATGTGGGCTACTGATGGTGGCCCACTTGCTAGCTCTGGGGCTTGGGGCTGTGGTATTCCAGGCTCTGGAGGGGCCTCCGGCACTCCAGCTCCAGGCCAAACTCAGGGCTGAACTGGCCACTTTCCAGGCTGAGTACGGGGCATGTCTGCCAAGCGGGGCCCTGGAGGAGCTGCTGGGCACCGCCCTGGCAGCCCAGGCCCACGGGGTCTCCAGTCTGGGCAATAGCTCAGAGGCCAGGACTTGGGACCTGCCCTCAGCCCTGCTCTTCACCGCCAGCATCCTCACCACCACAGGTAAGGCCACCAGGTGGCTGGGCAGGAGGGGGCTCCTGATTCCAGCACTCCCTGGGGTTCCAGGGGATGCAGCCCTTCCCCCAGCTCCAAAGTGCCAGACAGAGCCCAGGCCCTACTAGGTCTGACATCAGAGCAGACTCTTCCCATCAACACACCCCAACTGGTGCCTCAACTTCAGCTGCCAGAAGGGGTGTGGCCCCCAGCCCCACCCCCAGGCACCCTCTGAGACCCAGGAGAGGTGCCCAGAACCCATGGGCCAAAAGTGAGGCAAGGACAGATTCTTGGATGGAGGCAAATGGAGCGAACCTGGGGAGTGTGGGAGCACAGATGCAGGAGGGAATGTGGGGGGCGGCCCCTGGGGGAGGAAGTCTTGATGAGATGCCAGTCAGGGCACAGAGATGGGGGTGAGGGGACTCCTGGCAGAGGGCACAGCATGCGTGGAGGCCCAAAGACATAAAGCAACGGGACTCTCAGCCCCAGGAACCCACAGCCCGGTTTCCTTTTGTTTTGTTTTTTTAATCTGCAAAGTCTCTAAATATATATTTTTAATTAGTCTGTTTTCCAACTTCTTTTGGAGAAATCAGAAACCTACTCACATTGAGACAGTATACCAGCTGGAGTGGAACAGGGCCTGCCCTTCAGGGCAGGGCTCACTCCACGGGCCCCCGGGCACTGGAGGTTGAGGCACTGGGGTTTACAACCTCGGACTGGCCAATCCTGCTCTCCCACTCTCACACCTCTCCCAGGCTTTGCTCAGACTGTCCCAGCATCGAATGCCCTTTCTCACGCACGCTGCCTCTTCTGTAGCTCTTTGCATCACGCGTCTCCATAGACTTCCCTGCCTGTGTCCCTGCATCAAATGGCAGGGTCTGAGCAGACACGGATTCCGGCACAAGGCCCAGAACACAGGATAACTCGACACACCTTTGGGGAATAAAAGAGTGGGTAACATTCTGCCCACTGGATGTGGAAGTATCGGTCAAGGGCAGAGCTGAGGAATCCTGGAAAGCCAGGCAAGAGGCCTGAGGGAAGACTGTCTCTTTCAATTCTTTCACTTTCCGGAAGATAAAAGAGTAGCCCAGAGAGGTTAAGGGACTTACCCAAGAATCCTTGCCAATGAGGAGCAGAGCCAGCCAGAGCATGGGCCTGAACACTTCTGGCAACTTCAGCCACTAGAGGGCAGCCTTCAGCTGAGGCTCATTAGGGGAAGTGGGGACCCCAGCAGGCATTGTACTCAAGTGCTCACTGCCCTGTCTTGCTCCTGTCCAGGTTATGGCAGCATGGCCCCGATATCCGCAGGTGGAAAGACCTTCTGTGTGGTGTACGCAGCCCTGGGGCTGCCAGCTTCCCTAGCACTTGTGGCCACACTGCGCCACTGCCTGCTGCCTCTGCTCAGCCGCCCAGTTGCCCAGGTAGCTGTCCACTGGCAGCTGGCCCCGGCCAGGGCTGCGCTACTACAGGCAGCTGTGCTGGGTCTGCTAGTGACTGGTACCTTCGTGCTGCTGCCAGCACTGGTGCTGTGGGGTCTGCGGGGCGACAGCAGCCTGCTGGAGGCCATCTACTTCTGCTTCGGCTCACTCAGCACCATCGGCCTGGGGGACCTGCTGCCTGGCCGTGGCCGTGACCTGAATCCCGTGCTTTACCACCTCGGGGAGATGGCACTTCTTGGTGAGTCCTGCTGTCAAGGAGCACCAGTGGAGGAGGGAAGAGGAGTATGGACTACAACTCCCATAAGCCACTGGGGAGGTTGGCCTTCACAGGTGGAGGGAACTATAGTCGGAAGAACCCAGGCAGCAGAATTGTGAGTGGCATCAGGTGCCAGAGTGGGTCACTGGGCTAGGTGGGCGGGAATCATCAGCAGCACCCCAAAAGCTGCCCTAGCAACCTTTCTTCCCCAGGCTACTTGCTTCTGGGGCTCCTGGCCATGCTGCTAGCAGTGGAGACGTTCCTGGAGCTGCCACAGGTCCAGGCCATGGCGAAGTTTTTTGGATCCAGTGGCCCTTCAACCACCGAAGACCAAGATGGCATCCTAGGCCAGGATGCACTGGCCCTGAGTACCCTGCCCCCTGCAACCACAGCCCCAGAACAGGCCCGGGCCTGCTGACCAACGGGCGTCAGGCGATGCAGTTAACTCCTTTCAGATGAAGCAGCCTGAGGAAAAAGCCTCTAGAGATGGGAGGGAAGGGTTGGAGGGGAGGGTTGGATGTGAGGGCCTCAGAGAACAAAAAGGGCCCTAGCTAGTGTGGCTCAATGGATTGAGTGCTGGCCTGCAAACCAAGTGGTCGCCAGTTCAATTCCCAGTCAGGGCACCTGCCTGGGTTGCAGGCCGGGCTGCAGGTCAGGTTGCCGGCTGGGAGCATGCGAGAGGCAACTGATCAACATTATCTCTCCCACATCAATGTTTCTCTCCTCTCCAAAAGTAAATAAAGTAAAAATTGGCAACAACCTCAACCGGGCTTTTGTCTCTTCTTTCGAAGTGTTTCTCTACAGTGATCAACAGCCCAAACCCCCATCAACCTTCCAAGGCTGAGGTCCTGCCTCTGGGGCGCATCTGGGAACCTCAAGGCCCACACAGTCCATTTTGGGATCAAAGACCTTATCCGCCTGAACACCAACCCCTCCATCTACCGAAACCCCAGCTGTCCTGAGAAAGAGCCGCCGCGGGTAGCCTTGTCCAACTTTATTCCTCACAAGGAAGGGAAGGAGAGTGGGTGCGGCAGTTCCCGCCCATCCTGCTCCCCTGGGGCTGGCCACCCGGGCCCTGCCCTCCGGGAGGAGTCCTGCGCAGCGCTCCGGGGACCCCTAACCCCACGAACACACACACATGCATACACGCACTCACGGACAAATAAATAAGGCCCGACGGCGCGGCCGCCCAGCTGCTCCTGCCCCATTGGGCCTGAAAGGCTGCCCTACCCGCCTGATCAAAGGGGCGACGGTGGCCCCTACAGGCCGCTTGCGGCAGCCAAGAGGTCTCGGTCGCCCGGGCTCGGTCGTCCGGAGCGCACGCAGAAAGCAGCGACAGAAAAGCTGACACCGGCAGCGGTGGCGCAGCCTCAGCTCAGCGCACACCTTTCGCGCCTGCTCAGCTGCCGGCTCAGCTTACGTCGTCGCTGTTCCAGGCCGCGCTCCAGGCGTTCGTCCTCTTCCAGGGCGCTGCGATGGAAGGATTCGAGTCAGCGAGCGGTGGGCCTGACCCCGCACTCCTGGGAGTGCGCTCTCGGAGTCCTCCCCCCTCGCCCGCAGGGCTCCGGCTCCCGGAGCGACAGGCCCCACTCACATCCGCTCCCTGTGGTCCAGGTCCCGGACCAGCTCGTCGCGCTGGTTCACCAGCGACACCAGCTCCTCCAGCAGGAGCTGCTCTCGGTGCTGCTGCGCCGTGGTTTTGAGCCAGTCTGAGGGCGGAAGAGGCGGTGGGTCAGGCGGGCACCACCCGCTGCCCTGTCCCCCGCCCCAGGCCCTCTGGTCCCATTTCCCACCTTCGACGGCCAGCATGGCCCGTAGCTCTCGACTCAGCAGTTCAAACTTCCTTTCCAGGTCCTGCTCCTCGATACTGGGGGACAAAGATGCCAGCTCAGGGGAGGGGGAGGGGAAGTGAGAGCCCAGGGCGCTGACCACTCCCTGGCCCCCATCCTGGCCTCACCACCAGTTAGTTGCTGGAGAGCTGGGCTGAGGGCAGAGCTATAACCCAGAATAAGTCACCTCTTTTGTTCCATCTGCTGGATGTTCACAGTTTCTCCCAAACCCCACCCCGTTTTTAAAAATAAAAACAACCCCAGTGGGATTATTTGCATGAACATTACTCATAAAGCAAGTATTTAAAATTATTCTGAAAAATGATCCAAAATAAACCACCTCCACCACACAGGACTACAACCAGCGGTTTCTGACCCCACACAGGAAACCAGCTAAGATCTCCAGGCCTCGTTTTTCCTAACTGTAAAGGAACAGGGTCAGACTGGGGCACCCAGCCCAGAACTGTCTGCATATTTTTCTCTCATTAGTAAAACTGGCACTCATTTAAGAACACACACACTTCATACAGGAAATTAGATAGGAAAAAAATTAAGATGGCTGAGCAATTCTTCAAAAAGATTTTCATTGAGAGAAGAGAGCAGTGAGTCCCTCCAACCAAAGCAGCAGAGCTCTCCACTCCGCGGGCCCAGGGAGGGCTGGGGCGGCCCAGACAGCAAGCGAGGGGCCGCACTCACAGCAGCTGCAGCTGGTCCTGCCTCCGGATGAGAGCGTTCTTCTTGTTGACCAGCGTGAACCACTCCTGGATCAGCACCTCCTCCTGCAGCTTGTCGGCACCTGCACCGGGCCTGGACAGTCACCAGGCCTGCCACTGACCCAGTGGGGCTGGGGAAGGGGCCTGCTCCCTTGTGGCACCCGGAAGCCAGAGCTCCATGCCTCCAGCAAGCTACTTCCCTGCTCAGAGCCTCAGTGTACCCAGCTGTAAACGTGAACGTGAACCCAGTCTTGCCTCCTCCCAACTCCTCCCAAGGTCAGGAAGGGCTGCAGGACTGGGCAGGTCTGGGGGCAAGTGTTAGCGAGCGGACTTTAGATGCCTGGCCCACCTGATTCCATGAGGCTCCTCAGCTGTGTCTCCACCTCAGCTGCCCGCCCATCGATCTGCCTCTGCTCCTGTTCCAGGGCCTGTAGCTCTGCACACACGTACTGACTTGTGTCCTGGAACCGTTGCTGGGGTAAAAAGTGGGGGAGGGAGGGGGGTTCAGCCTTGGCCCTGCCTAGGAAGAGCCTAGTCATCCGCTCCGCCCACCTCAGGCCACCTTACCAGCCCAGCCTCCTCCCCTGGGCTTGGGGGTGGCTCCTCTGATGGGGGACTGCCACCTGCAGACAGAGACCAGGCTAAGGCACCTCCAACTGACACCTGCCCCCAGGAGTCCCCCAGCGCAGGATCTATGAGCAGCCTGAGCGGAGCCGGGTCACCATCCCTTCAAAACTACTCACCAGTAGGCTGTGGTGGGGCTGTAGCTGTGGGTGGGCCGGGGGTGGGGGTCAGGCCTTCCTGCAGAGGAGGAAAGAGACAGTGAGGGCTTGGAGGGGTTCCCCAACATCCCCGCCTGGGGGCCAGCCAGAGCCTCGCTCTTAGAGGGCAGGGTCCTCAATTTCACACCTCACCAGCCCACCGAGCTGTCTGCCGTCCTACACGCACAGCAGCCAGCCCCCACCCCCTCTAGGAAGAGTGCCTCCTCCCAGGAAGGCCACGGCCTTCACCGTCTCCAGTCCCGTGGTCCTGGGGCAGTCCAATGGCACGCTCTGAGTCTCACCATCCTTGCTCCTGGGGCCTCACAGGGCTTGGGTGAGAGTCAGGGATGAATGCCTGTGAAGGGGCCTCTCCTTCCCCCTCTTTCCCCCTCCTCCATGGAGCTCCCTCAGGCCATCTCTGACTCCCATCACCTAGTGCTGACATCTTCACCGTGGCCAGGGTCCCCACACAGTGACACAGAGCTGGCCTGAGGTAGCTATCCTGAGCTAGTACCTCCACCTACTGACCAAAAGGGGGCGCTCTCTTGTTATCAATCCCTATGCATGGAGCCTTTCCCACTTCACGAATCTCTCAGAACCGGGCAGGTTGGCCAAAACTACCAATTTTAGCCTGGAAGGGAGGGATGTGATATGCCCTGCCCCTGGTGACTTCCCAGGGCTGTCAGACCTGGGGGCTCCCTGCTCAGCTGATAGCCAGGCCCCATTGATGGCTCCTGCTCTGGCCACCTTTCTAGTCACCGAGCAGGGAAAAGGGACTGAGCAACCCACTGTCCACCCCATGCTGCACCTCTCTGAGAGGTGGCCCTGGGCACCCCTTGCTCAGGTGCCATCCTCTTTGGCCTAGTTCATTGGTGGCCTCACCAGCCACTGCCCATGCCCTGCCAGCTGACTCCACCCTCAAGCCACAACTGAAGGGTCTTCCTAAAACCTCCACCATACCTACCTCAACCCCAGCCTTGCTGTCGGGATCCATTGGAAGCTCTGGCCTCAACTCCCACCACTTTGAACCCCACCCAGATACCACTCTCTGCTGTCTACAGCCGTAGACTTTCGCTTCCCCAAACCGCTTCCTCAGCTTGGAGTCTGCCGTACACCAACTTGACCTTCATGATCTGGCTCATTTCCACCTCCTCCAGAGGCCCCTTCGGGCTCCCATAGGGCTTTCTGCCCCCTCTGTCACCATCATGCCTCCTAAAGCAGCCCCTGAACCCTGGGCTGGGCAGATGTTCCTTCCATGGCCTGCCGGCTGTCCCCATCACAGCTCTGACCCCACCCCTCGCCCCATGGTGGCTATGGGTCACCACGTCTGCCCAACCAGAGGCAGCCCCTGAAGACAGGGTGGGGCCCAGAGAAGGTACTCAGGGTACACTGATTAACATAGTAACACTTTCTGTCCATAGCAGAACACTTAACATTAACCTTACTAAATAATAGCTGGCATTGATGAAGCATTCACTTTGGACACTGTACATGTGTTGGCTCATTTAATTCCTCCAACAACCCTGGGAGGCCGGGCAACTACCACCCCCACTTTACAGGCGAGGAAACAGAGTCAGAGATGAGCTGATGAGCTGACACAGGGCCCGGCCAGGGGCCCAGGGCTGTCTCGGCTAAAAGGTCTGTTTCCAAGCTTGCCTCTCTGTGTTCCTGAATGTCAGACGGGAAGAAAGCCCAGCCCCCGGAACCTGGTGCTGCGGGGCTCCAGAAAGGCGTCTGGGGGAAACGCAGCTTCCTTTTTAACAAGAGCCCTGAAGTAGTACCTCCAGGCTACTTTGCAAAGAACTTGTATGCCTTTGCCTCTCATCTTCAGGAAAACAGCAGAGAGAGTAAGTGGCTTTACCAGGGTCGCACAGCCAGTCCACAGTGCTGGGCCCAGAAGAGGGTACCACTTAAGAGTTCAGGCTCTGAGCCTGCCTTCACATCTGTATCCACTCCCTTTGCCTCTTTGTTCACCTTCCTGAGTCTCAATGTTCTCATCTGCAAGATGGGACAGTCATTCATCCCTGGAAAAGGCAGTGGAGTGAGTCAGGGAGGGGTTGCAGGGGCAGGCCAGGCACAGAGCAAGAGCTCAGCCACCAGGCAGGCAGCGGCAGGACATCGCAGAAACCCCAACCTCAGCAGCAGCTGAGCTCACTTACGCCAGCCCTGATGGGAATTCTCATACTTCCTCATGTCTGACCCAAATTCCCCTTTTACACCCTTATGCATGGCCCCTCCTCCAGGGAGCCTTGCAGAATTGCACCAGAGGCGTACTGCCCTCCTCATGGCTTTGCTTCAGCCCCACCCCAGCTTCAAGGTGCCTGACTTCACCCAACTCCAGGACTTTGGGAGTGTCCGAGGGTGAGGCTGGGCCCGACATCCTTCCACCACACACATGGGGCATGGGGGGTGGGAGTGGCCAAGGAGAAGTCAACTCCAGTCCCACTGGTCGAGTATCTCCTGTGGGTGGGACAAGGCTGAGGGGGTCCTGGCTTAGATGGACGAGACGCTGGAACTTGGGCCCAGGAGCCTCCTGTTTGATATTCAAAGAGCCACTGACACTTTAACAAGGCTGTGTCCGGAGGCCAAAGGCCAGCCGGGGTGACCGTGTCCCTCCGATTCCCATCTGTCCAAACTCCTACAGGGTCTTTGAGGCCTGCCCTGCCTCCCATCACAGTCTCCATGCTGAGCCTCTGAGCCTGCCCTCGAGGTCCTGGCTCCCCAGGCTGGCTTCACCCCCACCTGTGGACCCGACCGGAGACGCCTGGCAGTTCGCTACATGAGACCGGAGATTTCCCGCTGCCACATTTTTGCTTGTACAGATCCTCCCACTTTAGAACCTCCCCTCCCGCTCTTCCCCTGGGAAACCACCTGCCGGTTCTATCGGCCTGGCTCAAGTGGCTGCTTCTTCCAGAAAGCCTTTCCCAGTTTACACCCTGCTCTCCTTAGCTCAGGAGCCATCCCCAGGCAGCTGAAGGCGTGGAGTAGCCCGGCAGCTGCTCCTGCTGTCGCAGGCAGGATGCTGTAAGTGGTGGACCGCGGCGGAAAGCCATGGCCTGGACTTCAGTGGCTCTGAGTCATCGCGCAAACCCCTGCCCTCTCTGGGACCATCTCCCCTTTAAGATTTTCAATGACCACATGACACCCTGGCAGCCTTCGATCTGAGACCTGCAGGGGATGGGGTGGACAGGATGTCCAGCTGGGCCTCCGATCTCCGACCTCCCATTACCGCAGAAAAGAGGAAACTGGTCTCCCGCATCTGGACTTTCAGACCCAAGTCAGAGAATCTTGGGGTTGGGAGGCTCTGGCTGGTCCCCTTGAGTACAGAAACCTTGCCCCCAACTTCCAGGGTAGCAATAGCTGCTGGGTGACCCCTGGCCACCCAGGCAGGGGCAGAAAAACCCCAGCCCAATTTACAGTCCGTACAGAGTGCTGTGCAGGGTGCTGACAAGCTGGGGCCTTCTGGGAATTTGCTACCACAGCCCCTGACTGGGGGAATGGGGGTCACGATTGGCACACAGGAGCCAGGTGTGCAGATCAGCTTTCCGTGAGGAATCAGGCCTGCATGGTGCCCAGGCTGCTGTGAGACTTGCTTCTGCTAAAGCTCCCTCACCCTACTGCAGATCTTTAATGTGCATCTCTGAAGCAACTCCCCAAGTCTGTGCTAAGATGTTCCAAGAACGAAAGGTAACCAAATCAATCATTTTTATCCTGGCCTTGCATTTGCAACTTTTTCTCCATTTTTGTTATCTATAAACTAAATCTAGAAATCAACTAAATCTAGAAATAACGAGGACCTTCTTTGATGTAACGTGACTAGAAACCAATAAAAGCCTGTCCAGGCAAGGGTCGGGGCGCCGTCCCTTTTTGTCCACAGGACTCAGTGGTCCATGTACGGCATCCACAACACACAGACTCGGGGGGGGGGGGGCGGGAGTATGCTTTGTACACCCAAGGCTGGCGGCGACGGCCAGGACCCAGCTCCCACAGCCTCTCCGGGCCTGGTGGGCCTTGCTTAACTCTTCCCCAGGGCCTTCTGGTCAGAAATCGCCTCCCCAAGCCCAGCTGAGTCCCCACACCATGCCAGCTCTGCCCTTGGCGGCACTTGGGACCCACCCCTTTGCTCCCTAGGACCCTTATACCACACTCACCGCGGTCTCGCCTCCCGCAGCTCCCCCCGAATCGGGGTCTTCTGTTGAGAAGGAGTTGCTATTCCGCAGCCTAGAGCGTCTCTTCTTCAGCAGGTCAGCGTCGCGCACGTGGGAGAAGGAGCCATGTGCGCGGGGCGGGGGCACCGGCCCCACCTCCCCATTCACTGATGGCCGCCGCAACCGCACACCTCCCCCTGCACCTAGCGCTGCAGCCCCATTCACCAGCCCCTCCGCAGGCGGCACCAATGCTCTGGCTCCAGTGCCGTTGACCGGGGTCTCCGTGGAGCGTGCCTCCTGGGCAGCCTCGGCCCCGAGGTCCTGAGAGGCTGCCTTGGAGGCCGCCCCATGCTCGCAGCTCTCGGCCTCCTTGGTCTCCTCGACCTGGTGCTTGCGCAGCCGCTGTGCCAGGCCACTGGTGTCCAGGTCTGTGGGAGGGCTGGACGAGGTGCTGGCCACGCGATAGGTGCCGGCACCACCGCCGCCCTCCAGCTGCACCAGCTGCAGCTCTTGTCCGGTGCAGAAGGCGCGGATCTGGCACAGGTACGTCATGACAATGAGCTTGTCCGGCACCGACAGCAGCACCATGTCTGCGGGTTCCAACAGCCGTGACACGCCCAGGGCCGCAAAGCCATCGAAGGCCTAGGAGTGGTGTGCCTGGGGTCAGCAGTGTCACCCAGCTGCTACCCAGCAACACTACGGACCCCCCTGGACTGATGAGGGTCCCCAAGACTGCAGGACAGGGTTGGCCTGGCAACGCCTTCATCCTCCTATGGGAGGAAATGTAGGGCTGCATGTTACTCAGCAAAAGGATGGCTTTCAGTGGGAATAAACTTAAAAAAATAAATAAATAAACTAAGGAAAATGAACAATTAAAGACCAACAGCATAAAAAGTGGCAGAACTTCCCAAAGCCACAGCCGGGGCCCACCAGCCCGGGCTCCTTCCGACAGACGGGTGGACCCACACCTTGGACCCAGGCCTGGTTCTAGATCCCCGTCTCCAGGCACTGCTCCCCCCCAGCTCACCTGCTTGTTGTTCTGTTTGATGTTGAGCGGGTTAAGGGCGGCGAAGTCTCTGTGGAGAGAGCTCCCGTCAGAGGCTGGGCTCACGGGGCCCTCCTGGCAGGTTCCCCAGTTCATTCCCACCCCCCCCCAAGCTGCTCACATCTTGTCTGGATAGAATCGGTGCAGGATGGCACAGAAGGCTAATCCGTTGCGCCAAGATGTAGTGAAGTTGGTAATTCGAACGCCACGGTAGCCAGCGGTGACTTCCTGGCACCACTCCAGTAGGGACTGGCTGGAGCTGACCAGGGCGGGCAGGGCCTGGGGACACAGGGATGATGTGAGAAATGTGAACCTGGGCCCTCTGCCCTTGGGCATAAAACCACCCCAGCTCTGGGTTCACAGGAGTCACCAGAGACCACTGGCCAGAGCCTCAGAGCCAGGCAAAGGGTTTTGAGCTCCTGAGTCATCTACCAAAGGCAACTAAAAGTTCAGTGACCCCCCCAGGCAAGATCGGAGGACATCAGCAGCCATGCCTCAAGGTCAGCCCAGAAAATCAGCTTAGGGATGTCCCACTCCATGCAGCCCAGGGAAGACAGGATGGGGGAGCCAGGACATCCTGAGAGGAAGGGGTGAGGGGGCTCCTTGAAGCTGAGCCCCTGTCCCACCCCACCCCAGTCGACCAGGTGGGTCCATGCAGAGCCGCCGTTAGCTCAGCCCCAGGTTAGCGGGAAGCAGAAGACTGGGCCCGCGGCGGCCCCCACCCCTACCTGGCTGCCCGGCAGCCTCCTGTCCTCTTCAGACTCCTCTGGGGGAGAGGCCCCTGAGCGCCTGGGCACCCCAGCCTCTGCCCCGCTGGCCACCTGCGCCTCAGTCAGGCTGGCCTCAGCTTCTTCCCCCTTCTCGGTTCCCAAGACCCCAGCCTCTGCTTCCTGGGCCTCAAAAATACCAGATTGGTTCTCTGGAAGACTTAAACCCTCCATGTCTGCCTCACAGGCCCCCCAAACCCCAGACTTGGCCTCTGAAATTTCCAGAGCCTCAGCTTGCACCTCCTGGACCCTCAAAACAGAAGTGTCTGCCTCTGCTCCCTGGGGCCCTAAAACTCCACGCTTAGGAAGTGGGGCCTTGAACGCCTCATTTGCGAGGCTCCCCCGGAACCCAGTCTCTGCCTCCAGGACCCCTGAGATCTTAGCCTTCTCAACCTCCAAAACTGCAGTTTCTGTAGGTTGAGTCCCCAGTTTCTTAGCCTCTGCCATTTCAACCTCCAGCCCCAAGACCCCTGAACGTTCCACCTTTGTCTCCGGGGTCCCTGCCATCTCAGTCTGCATCCCTGGGGCCCCTGGACCCTCAGCTGTTTCCTCCTCGGTCCCCAATGTCTCCACCTCTGCTGTCCCAGACTCAAACCCCGGAACCTCAGAACCCCCTAACTCTGTTTCCCGGGTCCCTGATAGCTCAGACTTTATTGCTAAGACCCTGGAACCCCCCACCTCTGTCTCCTGGGTCTCCAATATCTTAGTCTCTGCCCTCCCAGCCTCTATCATTGGCACCCCCAAACCTTCTACCTCTGTCTCCTGGGCCCCCATTATTACAGGTTCTGCTATCTCAGCTTCTATCCTCAGTGCTCCTGAGTCCCCCTTTATTTCCTGAGTCCCCAGTGTCTCAGCCTCTGCCATCCTAGACTTGGTCTCTGGAACTCCCGAAGCCCCAGCCACTGTCTGCTGGGTCTCTAGTTTCTCGGGCTCTGCCATCCCAGCAGCTTCTGTTTCCAGGAGCCCTGGTCTCACTGCCTCTGCCTCGTGGGCCTCAAGTATTTCAGCTTTCCCTGTTCCAGTCTCTACCTTCGGGAACCCTGAGCCCTCTGCTTCTGTCTCTCGGGTCCCCCAAACTTCTGACTCTGCCACTCTCGTCTCTGTTCCCAGGACCCTCAAGTCCCCAGTTTCTGCCTTCCAGAGCCCCAGATCCCTAGACATCGTCCCCTGGTCCGCTGTGGGTGGAGCTTCCTGGTACCTGCTCACCTGGGGCCTGGTGCTTGCTGCTCCAACAGAGGGGCCCTGCTCCAGGCCCGTCCCTCTAACTCCAGAGGCCCCACCCCTCACCTCTGCACCCTCTCTCTCCTGGCCTGCAGCAGCCCTGGCTCCCTGGGAGTTGCTGAAATGCCCACAGTGCTCTGCAGGCTCTGCTGAGGGTGAGCTCTGCACAGTAGGAGCCTCATCCCCAGGCCTGACCCCTGTCCTCTCCTGAGGGCCCCTCAGAGGAGCCCCAGGAGCTCCCTGGAACCCTGCCTCAGATATCACCTCTGTAGCTCCTGGTGTTTCAGTGTCCACAGGTTTCACCTTTGACCTCTGCTCAGCATCCACTTGAGTAACTTCTGAATTTAGTTCAGCCTCCCCAGCTCTGACCTCTGACCTCTGAGTGTTCACTCCTGTGACTCCTGACGCCTGCTCAGTGTCCACCCCACTTGCCTCTGTCCTGTTCCCAAGGGCACCTTCCTCAACCTCGGCTTTCTGTCCCCCCAAAGAGTTTCTGCAGCCTCTGTCCTCAATGCCTGGGCTTGGCCTGGCTCTCTGGGCCTCTGTTCCTTCCTGAGGGCTTGCCTGGACCTGGATCTCCCCAGCAGAACCCACTCCTGCTAGGGGAGCCCCTGAGGCTTTGGGGGCCTCCTCCTCCCCTTGGGGGACTGAGGGCCAGGGGGCATCAGAGCCTTTCCGGAGCCGAGGTGCCGGGACGGGGGCCAAATCCTGGCCTGGGTGTCTTGAGGACCTGCGGAGAGAGCAGCAGGAAGTACTGGGGGAGCCACTTGTTGCCCCACTCTCAGCCCGACCCCCACCATTCGGGTGCTGGGGCACCGGAAAGGCAGGCTGATAGGGGGTCTGCAGCTTCCCAACGTGGGCAGGGCAGGGAGCGTGGGGCTGGTCCCAAAGCTCACCCTGTCTCCAGTGGGGTTCCAGGGGGCCTTGGGGCTTCAGGCCCCACCTGGCCCCCGACTACAGTAGCAGGTGCTGACCCTTGTCCCCGGGAGGCCCTGGCTGGGGGCGCAGGGGCACTCACAGGGGCCGGTCTGGTGTCCTCAGCACTAGCAGGGCTGGCAGCTAGGGAAGAAGGAGGGGCAGGCGTGAGGCCCGGGCCCTGCGAATGGACAGCCAGGCCCCGCCCAGCCCGGCCTGGGCCTCACCCGCCTGCTGGGGCCGAGTAACTCGGACCTCGTCCTCCTCTTCACGAAGTGTCTTCAGCTCCCGAGAGGGATCTGGAGAAGGGTTTGGGGGCACAGGGTGAGGCCAGGGCAGAGCCCTGAAGGTCTGACCCCCTCCCTCCACCTACAACACTGGGCCTACCTGGGAGCTCCCCCGGCCTCAGGGCACCGCCCCTGCCTGCGAGAAGAGACAGGCCCACGAATGCAGAGAAAAAGAGGGAACCAGAAGGAAAGACAGAATAAAAGCCTTAAGAAGCTGAAGGGCGGGATGAGGAAACCAGTGACGGCACAAGCGGGGGTGGCAGCGGTGGCAGGACTGCGCTGCAGCCCCTCTGTGCACTTTTGGTGCCGCCGCCGTCGTCGTAGGGCAGACACTAAGCTGGGCAGGCCCCCACTCTGGGAAGAGGAAGGGGCCACGAGGGGGCGCTGTAATGCATCATGCGGGACTTGGCTAAGGGACCCAGGCCACCGAGGGACCAGGGGCTGAGTCTGCACAGAGAGGGCTGCAGGGCGGCTGGGCAACAGTGAGCTCCCATCACTGGGTGTGCGCAAGCTGGCCTTGGCCCCAACACAGCCAGGGGCTTCTACAGAGCCCGCCCCCACCGCCCTGGGTCTTGGGGGTCTCAGTCCATGGCAGGCTGTGAGCCCACCTGGCTGGGGAGCACGAGCCCGTGCCTCAGGGGCCCCTGGACCATTAGCCTCCTCCTCGTCACTCTCAGCAAAGTCATCCAAGTTGCCCACGTCACTAGGCTTCACGCTCATAAGGCTCGCAAGACTCTGCATGTCATCGTCCCTGGGGGGTCAGACGTCAGGGGTGAGGGCTGGGGTCGAAGGCTGTGGACCAGGGCCAAGGAGGGCAGGCAGGCACTCACGTGGCACGGCCCTCTCGCAGCAGCACACCCGAGAGGGTGAGGCTCAGCTCCGCATGCACCACCTTCACCGACTTGGCCTTCATCCGCAGCCGCAGAGGAGCCTGGGCAGGCACGGGCCCCGCATGGCGGGCCAGGTCCACCTCAGCCGAGGCCAGCACCTTCCGCTGCCCTTTGGACTCCTGTGGGTGAGGGGAGAGGGGACAGGCCGGGAGAATGAGCACCAGTGCTGTCCCAGAGTCTCCATGGCCCCAGACCCCAGACCACCCCAGCCACTCACATTCTCAATAACAAATGTCCACTCTTTGGCTTCATACTGGTCCACGTGGGGGTCCTGGGAACAGGGGGCACTGGTGAGTACGGGGCCTGGTGGGGCAGGGGCAGTGCAGGGACAGGAAGAGCCTGTGCTGGCTCAGGAGGTGCTTGGTTGGGGCCTTCACACATGCCGGTCCATCCTGCCTGGGACCCTTCCCAGCTTCCCCGGGTCCCAGCTATCTCTTCCACTGCACATGGCTGCTAAACTCAACCTCTGAGGAGACCCCTGGGCCACTCACGCTGAGTAGACCCCTGATGTGATTCTTGGTTCGCTACTCTGTTCTTTCCTGGCTGGACTGAGAGCCCAGCAGGGGACTGCAGCAGTCCCCTGGGGCTGTAATCACCAGCCCACTCCCTTCTCTGTAGGGGGGCTAGAAACTCACCCTGTACAGGGTCACGGAGATGTCCACGTTCTCAGGTACCATCCACACCACGGTGCCCCGGTATGGGTTCTGGATGCCCGGCTGCCAGCTGTGGGCCTACAAGGAGCGGTCTGAATGCCCCCAGCCTTAACTCTCCCCTCCCCTTTGGCCCCTGTCTCCGACCTTGACCACATCTTTCCCTCCATCCTGTGGATTCTGATCTGAACCTGACTCCATGACCCTACTAGCCCTCACCAGCTTTGCCCAGGCCCCCTCCCTGGCCCCACCCTAGTTAACATCTCCCCCACCTTGGAGCAGATGCGTCGGTTCCGCCGGGTCCACACCACCGTCAGCTTATCCGGTTGCCTGGGTTGGGGCGGGGGGGGGGGGGGCGAAGACAGGGGACTTCTCAGGCTGCCCAGCCTCTCCATCTCCAGGGTCTCCCCTCTGCCCCAAACCCCCTCCCCCAGGAGAGGGAATGGACAACCCCTTATCTGCAGCCACAGGGAGCAAGGTGGGGCTGCGGAGGCAGGGTGCGGCCCAGAGCAGAAGGGCAAAGGCCCAGGGTGGGTCAGCAGGGATTATGAAGAAAGACAGGGAGAAGGAGATGAACCAAGAGGCAGGCACACAGAGACAGAGAGATGCAGAGAAAGACAGCAAGAGCCCTGCAAGAGACACAGCGCAGGGTACAAGATGTCCCTCGAGTCACAGCTGTCTGTGGACTGCCTCCTACGCACCCAATCTCATCAGGGGGCAGGGCAGAGCAAGGCAGAAGCGAGACCCTCCCAGGGCTGCGGGCAGCAGGGGTGGGGAAACAGGACCAATCAAGAAGAAAAAGGAATGAACAAGCTGACTTCGGGGAGACGGGAGGGAGCCTCTAGGGCCTCCTTGAGGTGGGATGTGGGAGTGGAGGCCCGCATCAGGGAGGGATGGGCTGTGTAAGGGTCTGGAGGGGTCTCCAGGTTATGAGGAATGGTAAGTGTGGGAGTCCCAGGGTCAGAGTGGGGGGCAGAGGGTGGGAGGCAGCCGGACAGGCAGACGCCCTCCCAGGGTCTTCCAAGCTCAGTCCTTTACTGGGCCAGGGCCCCGGAGAGCCAGCCATGCTCCCCACCTCTCAAACCCAGAGCCCTGGCCTAGCTTTGCAGCGACACTGGCTCCCACGAGGGGCATCAAGGGAGACTCCCAGGTTATATCTAAGCTGCACAGCATATGCAGGGACAGTCAGAAGAGAGGCAGAGATGTGAGGAGACAGACAAATTGAGGAGGGTCACCTGTGCGGGGCCCAGTACGAGACAGAGCTGACACATGGCTAGGCCTTGGAGGGAGAAGGTCTTTTTGGGTCCTGGTGTCCCACTGCTGCTGCCCAGGGGGTGGGTATGGCTGAGGGCAGTCCAAGAGCCCTCTTTGCCTGTACCAGTCCCATGCCAGGACTCCTGGGTTCACCCACTTCCCTGCCCTTCTGGAGTCTGAGACAAGATAAATGGCTCTCTCTCAACTCCTGAGGATGCTGAGCCCAGAGAGACTGGGGGCCAGGCAAGGTCACACAGCTGACCCTAAGGGTCTCTGGCCTGGAGCCAGGCTCCTTCCCCAGCCCCAAAATGCAGGCAATGGCTGAGCAAGGGTATCCATGGGGGCCTTCCCAGAAAGGGGAAGTGGCAAGGGGTGCCTAGGGGGGCGGAGCCTGGCCAAGCAGCCTGACTCAGGCTGGGCTCGCCCTCCTGGGAAGCTGCGACCTAGGCAGGGGCAGCTTCCTAACCTGCGCTCCAGGCTTAGAAGCCCAGGAAGCCCTGACTGTCCCTTGTGACTCACACGTGTTGACAATGCCCACACCCTTGGCCTGTTCTCCAGGACCATGCCCAGCATCTACGGACCCTACCCAGGGTGCTGGGACAGAAGGTAGAAGCCAGAGGCCTGAGTTCAGGTATCGGCCCTGTGCTGTGTTACCCCAGCCAACCGCTGCACTCTCTGGGCCTCACCTAAAGGACCGACTGGCCCTCTGGCTGTCCGAGTCAAGAACAGGAATACGGCAGCTACCCAAGGGACCCCAGCCTCCTTCCACTGGCCTCCCATTGGACCCAAGGTCCCTTCCTGCCCCAGCAGCCCTTTCTCTTGGGAGCCTAAATTTATCCCCGCTTGGCGGGTAAGATCCCCACAGCTGTGCCCTAATCCAGCCAAGGGAAGCTGACACCAGTGAGCACATATATTTAGGGTGTGACGCAGGGGCCTAGGCAGCTGCGGTGGGGACAGGAGAATGACGCCCCTGGGCCCTTTGGCAGTCCAGGCCAGGTCCCGTACCCGCCCCATCTCTCCCCCCACCCCACCTTGCCCTCTCCAGGCCCTCACTTCCCAGACCCACAACCTCCTAGGCCCTCAGGCCCCTTTAAGACACTCCTGTCTCCCTCCTTATCCCTCCTGGTGCTCAGTTTCCCCTTTTAAGGACATTGTGGAGATGAATCCAACCTCCCGGAGCCCAGTCTGGCTGAAGGAGGGCGTTGTCCTCTGCTTTAACAAGTGGGCAGGGGAGGAGGGCCACAGCATCCTTGTTCTGAGCTGGACTAAGGTCCATGAAGGTTTCCGCCCCAGCCTGGCTGCCAGCACACCTCAAAACTTTCTCCGTCTCCCCACGCCACCCTGAATCATCCCTCTGGCCAAAAACATGAGGCCTTTCTTCCCCTCGGCCCTGCGCACAGCTGAGGAAAGTGTGGGCAGACAGATTCTCAGGCCCGGAAGTTCTAACCTCACTCCCCCAAAGCTTCCACAACCCCCAACTCTAGAGGGGCTCACCAGTTGCAAGGTCCCCCTTGGGGTCTCTGTGCCTGGGACATGAGGGCCCAAGCTGGGACAGGGGCCACTTTAGCCACTGGGCTGGGGACAGGTTTCTCTCAGGCTCCAAAGGCCTGATGGGGTCTCAGCCAGTCTGGGGTCCCCGAGGCCTCCTTCCACTCACCATTTCTTGGTGCACTCCACCACCAGCTCGTGGTAACAGGCCACAAACTGGAACTTGGCCGCCCGCTTGCCTACGCGCTGCAGGCGCTTCCACACCGAGGTCATGGCCCCTGCCGCCCCGCAGCCCTACTGCTCCTCAGACTCGGGGCTCCCGCTGGCCCACGGCTGCTGGCCCCGCCCAAGTCCCCATGGCCTCCCAAGTTCCCAGCCGTGCTGCCCGCCCCGTCTGTGCGATGGTGTCCGAGGCTCGGGCACCAGTGGAGCCGCTGTCCCCACTGCTGCCTTTGGGGCCTGCCTGGTGGTCTGGCTGAGTCGTCGGGGTCGTCTGGGGCGAGTCGGGTGGCTGTGGCACTGTATAGGGAGCGCGCCGTTTCCTGGAGCCGCACCCCCGTCGGAAGGCGGGCGGGGCTCCAGCGGGCACGGGGGCGGGGCAGCCAGGCTTCCGGGGCCTTTGCGACCGACCAAGAGGTTGAAGGGGGGGAGGGGGCGGAACGCCAGGACCACAGCGCCCGCTCGTTGCACGCCCTGTGCCGGGGAGAGGGCACCAGCAACTTGGCGCCGCCCTCGCTAGCGTGGCTGGGGCCGCCTCCCTTCCTGCCCTCAGCACAGCGGGGTACTTACTGGTGGCCCCGTTTTACAAACTGGGAAACAGAGACCCAGAAAAGGGAAGAGACTTGCTCAGGGTCCCAGTGCGAGTCTGAGGCAGAGCCCGTCCTCAACACTAGGGTGGCAGACTCCTGTTTGCCCCCCACTTCTTACCCAAAGCAGGAGGGAACAGTCACCAACCTGGGTGACTACCTGTGGACAGCACCCTGCTTTCTGTCTCAGAATCTGACTCCTCAGCTTCCAAGTGGAAACACACTCCCAACATCTAGTAAGCAGCTGGAAGTTCAAATCCTGACTTCCAAAAAGTGGGTGACTTTGGGCAGAGCACTATCGCTCTGCGGCTCAGTCTCTACCTCCGTTAAATAGGGATAATTATAGTCTGCCTTTTACACTGTAATTGAGAGCACAAAACCTTGAAAATTTGTATTTGTACCTAGAAACCTTACATTCAGTACAGAGCCTGGCTGATTTTGAGAGGTTTCATTTAGTAGAATCCATTACCTCAATGGCGATGGCAGTGTGTGTGTGTGTGTGTGTGTGTGTCTCCCGTGGAAAGTATGCCTGGGGCGTTAACAGCTGTTTACACCTAGATTACAGCCCAACCTGCCTGGTAATGAACTGCAGGGGTCAGGCCCGGAGAGCACCAGAGCTCTGCAAGGTTTGCGAACAGACTGCAGCCTGGTGCTTGATAAATACTCGGTTTAAGCAGGTGTCTCATCTGCCAGGAGCACCAGCTGAATGGTCTGCAGGAGGCAAGTCACTGTGTAGCAGGGCATGGTACGAGCAACCCGAAAGCCTAAGTGTGTGACTTCGAGGTCCTCTCCTCTTGGCCTCAGAAAGTGTGGGGGTGTTTCCGTGTGGGCTTAAGAGGAATGAGCACTGGCTGTCCCCAAATGGGCAGCCCCCCTCCCTAGGGCCTGACATCTGGGTTTGGCTCCCAGTCTCAGCAGCGAGGTCCTCAGTTTTCTCTGTAAGAGATTTTACCCTCAAGATCCCAAGTGCAGTGGGGCAGGGCCAGGCAGTCTGCTGGAGACTGAGGAGTGGGGGTGGCTGGGGTCATACCCCCGTCCTCTGTACCAAAGCCTGGGGTCCTGCCCCCATCTCTCCTCCAAGGCTTGCCTGGCCTCTGGGGGGGTCTGAGGGACCACCAACTTCACACCCTTCTGCCTCCGCAGTGCCTCCCTCTCACCCAGAGGGCACTCACTAGCTCCCAAGCCCTTCCCTAAGGCGCCTTCCCCTCTCCCTCTGAGGGGCCCCTAGGCCTGCTGGCTCAGGCCCACCCATTTCCTGTGCTGCCCCAACTCCTCCCCGACTGGAAAGTTTCTCTCCTCAAGTTGGGCGGCTCCTTCTCCTTCCTTCCCCGCTAGCCAGGAAGGACCAAGCAAGTGAAGTGGGGAAGGTTGGGCTCCAGCCTCCGGCCAGAGAGGGGAAGTGACTCGCCCACAGCCACACAACCGTGGCACCAAGGACAAGTTTGAAACGCTTCGCAACCCATGCAAGGAAGGGGAGATTCACGTCCCGCCACCGCCAAGCCTTTATTCTCAGGGCCTTGGCACCACCTGCCGGCGGAGCGCGGGGCTGCACTTGCCAAAAACACCACTACATTCCCGCCGGGGAACCAAGCAGTCAGAAAGTACACTGGCACGCTGAGGGTGTTTATTTATCTATGTGCCCAAAAGGCTGGCTCCTAAACTTAAATATCCAGCGCAGAGCCTTGGCCCTCTCAGCTGCGGGTGGGTGCAAGAATGGGTCCTGGAGCCCTTGTCTAGGGGAATGGGACCCAAGGACCAGAAGCAGGATGCCCCTGAGCCAGCAGCTGCCAAGAGCAGCAAAAGGTGAAAAGGAGATGGAAGCCAAGCACCCATCCCAATCCGAGACGCCAAGGGGAATGCAAGATGCTTCAGGCCCCACTGCCAGCTTAAAGGTTAGCCAAGATGGGGGGTCCAGTGCCATGGGCAAAGGCTGTAGCCCAGGTGTCTGCCCTAGTGCCAGCAAACCCGAGACAGGAGAGGGGGTTGGCAGTGGTGCCTCTGCGCAGCCCAGGCCTCGCCCTCCTGTGGGTGAGGTGGTATGGGGGGAAGCAGGCACTCTACTCTGTGCACTTGCTGAGGGGTGAGTTTCTGAGCCTTTTGCACGGGTACACACCTCCCACCCATCCCCCGTTCTTCAGAGGTTGATATGGAAGGCGTCTTGTAGCCACTGGTCACGGGCATTGTGAGTCTGGGGCACAGTGAGGGGTGGCGGGTCCGGGGGCAGGCTGGCATCAGGAGGGTCCTCGTCATCAGACAGGCCGGCATCTGGAGGGTAGGAGCTGTCTGAGTGCAGTGAGGACGACAGGTCCTGGCACAGGCTCAGGTCTTGGCACAGGTGCTTGTAGTCCTGGATTGACTCGTACAGGCCCCACAGCTGGCACAACAGGGACATGTCCAGCTGCCGCAACCCCACCTGCAACAGACTCAGAGTGGGCTGGGGCTGGGGACCAGGCCACCCTCAGCCCGAACCAGAGCCGTAGTCAACCTTTCCACACTTTCTAAATTTTTGTGGACACAGACGCCACCTGCATGCAGTGAATCTTTAGGCAAGTCATTGGCCCTCAGCTGTTAAAAGGAGGTAACACTCATCTAGCAGGGTGGAATGAAATAAGATGAATAAAGCACTTAAAATGCATGGTAACTATTGCCATAAATGGTAGGTGTAATTACTGTTACCATATCCCCTGTGACCGTCCGCCTGGCTTCTACATGTCCTGAGACCCAGGCATTCCTGGTTCCATACCTCTGCGCTCCGCCTCACCTCGGGACTCCCCTGCTCGGCAGCAGCACCCCCCACCCAACCCCTTGGCCCAGGTCCCAGCTACTCACCATCTCCTTACGCAGCGCGGCTAATGCCGAGTCGAGGTTGACAGGGCGACGCGGCCCGAGAGGACCGGCTGCAGATCCGGCGTTGGCGGAGCCTGTGGCTCCATGGAGCCCTTCAGGGACGCGGGCCGCACGGCTCAGCTCATCGTGGATACGGTTGCGCTGGCTGTAGATGCGCTCCAGCTCCCGCCACGAGCCCCCGCTCGCGTTAAGGAGACCGCTGAGGCCGCGCGGTAGCGGCGGGAGTCCGGCCAGGGCGCAGCCCGCGCCGCCCGGCGCTTCAGCCGGGGGCAGCCCATTCATGACTTGGCCAGCCCGGGCGACGATGGAGCCTTTCTCTCCAATGTTCTGCCTGGGCTGCCGCCCGCAGGCCCCGCACTCCCGGGGCCCTACCAGCCGAGCCCAGCGGCGGCCCGCAGGCCGGGCTTTGTTCCTTCCCCACCTCCTGACTCCGCCCCTAACCCAACCCCTTCGCGTGGGCGGGGCCTCTCTTAAAAGGGCCACAGCCGTGGGCCCAAGTCGCTCCGGATCGTAGAAAGCTGAGTAAAGGAATTGGGTCAGACAGGAGACAGTAAAAGAGAGGGAAGACACCACAAGTAGCGGGCACGGTTCCTTCACAGCTCTTTATGCTCCCCTCCCCCAACACCGTGTTTCATTATTCTGTCGAGTTGTAACTCCCAAGGTAAAGGATCTAAAATCGGGGATCAGGAGACTGAGGTACATCCATATTTGATTCCTACTGTGCAACCTTACGACGCCCCGTCAGTGCCTGAGCCCCTGGGCTGGGCAGGAGATGGGAAAGGATGATGGTCCCAGGATGCTTCGGGGAAGAAGGAACCAAGGGGACTGGATCCCAATCTCACTCAAGGGTGGGGAACGAGCCCTGGATGGCTCAGGAGGCTACGGGGGTGCTGCAGAGGCCCATCCCTCTAGTTCCTGCCTTTGGGGGGCAACTATCACGTAGTTCTCTCCCTCCCTGTCATCCTCTGAGTGGGGAAACTGAGCAGAACGAGCCCAACTCCCATCTCAGGGCATCAAGATCAGAGAGGGGTGGGGTAAGAGACCAAAAGCAGGCAATAGGTGAGTGGAGCTGGGGCTGGCATGCACACTCAGAACCATGAAAAGAACAAACCACACAAGAGGAACGGCTGTTTTTCTAGAGGGTTTTTCTGGGGGGTAGGCGGGGAGGGGCTCTTAGTGTTGCAGCTGCTGCAGGCTGTGCAGGGCCTCAGCACAAGCCCGGATGAGGCTACAGAGCTGGATGCTAGTCTCCAGGGAGGCACTAGAGCCCAGTTCGGCTGAGGCCCAGGTCAGCTTCTGCAGGAGGGCCTCCTGTGTGCTGGCCACAACATCTGCATTTGGAGGCACAGCAGGAGGGGCCGACCCCTGGGCTGCCTTCAGCCCTGCCGCAGCTCCCTCACAGTGTTCTGGACGGGGTACTGGGGGCTGAGGGGTGGGCCGAGAGCCTGCAGGGAGCTCCAAGGAAGAGGCGAGTTGGTGCTCCCGAGCTTGGGAGAGGGCAGCCTGGGCATTCAGAGCTAAAAGAGGAGAAATGGAGTGGAGTGGTCAGGATGCCTGAGCCCTCCCTCAGCCCTGAGCCACCTCCTTACTCTCCACTGCTCTGCTCTTTCTGTGCTCCTCATATCTTCCCTGCCACTCTCTAAGACAACTCACTGCTTATTCTTTGAATCAGATTTACTTCTGTCCTCGATTCATCTCTTCAATCAGGACTATGCCTGACTGAGCTGGGGATCTCCCTGGTGTCTAGCACACAGGAGGCGCTCACTGCTCTTGTTGAATGCATGCTCCTTTATGGAGCTAAAAGGAGAAAGCACCTTACCTCCAACCCACTCAAGGATGCCACTGTCACCTCCCAGGCCTACCGTTCCCAGGGCTGTCACCACCAAGTAAATGCAGTCCCTCACCCGGGTTATCTTTATCCACGTCTGAGTCGAGCTCCTGACAGGCCACGCAGTACACCTGCCGCTGCTTATTTTGGAGGAGGATCGTCTAGGGGCCAGAAAGCACAAGCGGCTAGGGTAAGACGCTGGGCTGCGAGGTCCAGAAAGGGGCTGGGGAAGCGCCGTGCAGCCTGGTACGTGGCCCCACCCCGAGTCTCTCCTCACCCCACAGTCCGCGCACGTCTCGCCCAGCATGCGGTAACCACGTAGCAGGTAGTCGCCCATGAGCGCGGAGATGCGATCCTGCCGCTCGCGTCGCGCTTGCAGAACCTTGGTTTCCGCTTCGGTCGGAGGCTCCCAGGAAAAATCGTCAACTTCTGGGGAAAGAAAGGCACAAGGGATTTGGGTTTCTTTGCAAGAGATTTTATTTATTTTCAGAGAGAGGGGAAGGGAAGGAGTAAGAAAGGAAGAGATAAATCTATGTGAGAGAGAAACATCAGTTGGCTGACTCTCTTGTCCCCAACCAGGGACCTGGCCCGCAACCCTGGCATGTGCCCTGACTGAGAATGGAACCAGCAACCTTTCGGCTCACAGGCCGGCGCTCAATCCACTGGGCTACGCCAGCCGGGGCTGGACCTGGGTCTCGTGTGGAAGCAGGCTACCTCCCGCACCCCGCAACCGCAGACCCCCGCAGCTCAGGTCCTCACCAGCGCCATTCAGAGCCATGTTGCCGTTGTCGCCGCTAGGCTCAACGGAAATGACCTACGGACAGAGCGCCTTTCTCCGGCTCCTCCCCCTCACGTCACGCAAAGAACGAGGGCGGAAATGACGCAAAGAGTGCCCCCTCGGAGGTCGCGGTGCCCGGAGTGGGGCGTGTCTGCTGTCGGCCAGGTCCTGCGCAGTTCGCGCCTGCCGGAGGTAACTCAGCAGACAAGAACTTTCGACCGGCGGGGTTGGGCGTCGAGAGCCACTTCTCCCCGGGAACTCCTCTCAGATCACGGGACCCGGAGGTGACTGCGCAGTCACCCTTTTTGTCCGCCGCGGATGGAAGGAATTTCTCGGCTCGAGGAATCCCCGCTGGCCTCCGCCTGCCCTGGGCTTTCTCTTTCCGCGCGAGCCGGACCATTGGCAGGCGGGGCACTGACGTCATCACAGTAACACCTTTGCTAATAACGAACGGCCTTTGAATCGCGCGTGGAGGCTTTTCAGGCCTCAGTACTTCTCACTTCAACATGCAAGGCAGGTCAGGCAGAGAACATTCTTGCTTTCTATACCTTTCAGCCTATTTGCATGTTTCCTGTCCCGGGCTCTCCATCTCCTACCTACCCTAAGGCCTGGGGCTGATATAAAGTCAGCTCTCAACTTTTCTGAAGTACAGCCCGTTTTTCAGGGAGCAGCCACAGCGGAGTAATGTGTGCTGGAGAGTGGGTGGTAATGAAGGGCTTATTACACAAGCCGGTGACTCTTACGCCCTCCTTGGGTGAGATGCTATTAAAATTATTAGTGCTGCCCTGGCTGGTGTGGTTCAGTGGATTGAGCACAGGGTTGTGAAGCAAAGGGTCGCCAGTTTGATTCCCAGTCAGGGCACGTGCCTGGGTTGCAGGCCAGGTCCCCAGTAGGGGACACATGAGAGACAACCACACATTGATGTTTCTCTCCCACTCTTCTCTTTCTCCTTCCCTTTCCCGCTCTCTAGAAATAAATAAATAAAATATTTTTTAAAAATTACTAAGCCCTGGCTGGTGTAGCTCAGTGGATTGAGCTCAGGCCTGCGAACCAGAGGATCGTGTCGAACCAGAGGTTCGATTCCCAGTCAGGGCATATTCCTGGGTTGCAGACTGGTTCCCTGCAGGCCAGTTCCCAGCAAGGGATGCACAAAAGGCAACCATACATTGATGTTTCTCTCCCTCTCTCCTTCCCCTCTAAAGATAAATAAATAAATAAAATCTTTAAAAAAATTACTAGTGCTCCTTAACGTTGGTCTTGGTGATTTTTCCCCTCTTCTGTGTTTTTTTTAAATTAAGATTTTATTTATTTATTTTTAGAGAGGGAAGGGGGAGAGAGAGGGAAACATCAATGTGTGGTTGCCTCTTGAGCACCCCCTACTGGGGACCTGGCCTACAACCCAGGCACCGGCCTTCCTGGGAATTCAACCAGTGATCTTTTGGTTCACAGGCTGGCACTCAGTCCACTGATCCACACCAGGCAGGGCTCCTTTTCTGTGTTCCTTCCCAGACACATCCTCTCCCTTATTGGAGAGGTTTGGAGAAGCCAGATGGGGCAGGCAGCAGTCTCCTGCTGTATGTGCATCCTCCCCTGCCCCAAGGCTGCGCGCCAAGGCTCAGACCCCCATCATCTCATCAGCAACCTCCTCCTTTGGTTAGACAGCACGTGCATCAGCGATATTACCTGAAGACTGGGCGCCCTCCTCCTGGTCCCATCTTCCTCCTACATAGAGAGTCTTTGGAACTGCCATTTTCATACCCTTGCTGCCTCTTGCTCTCTTGGAGAGCCCTGTGCTTCTTTCACTCTCACCCTCTACCAGCAGGCTCTTGGGCAGCAGCATAGCTGACTCAGGGCCTGGCTCCAGGTCAGTTCTGCCGAGCTGACTCCAGGGACTCTTGGACTCAAGCCTGTGCGCACAAGCCTTCCCAGTCCTTACTGTCTTGGGCTCCCGGCCCCACCCTGAACTCTTCAATGCACCCTTCGTGTCATCCTCATGGCCAATATCTCTTCAATGGTGTATTCCTGGCACCAACTAAGGCCCTTACACTTACCCTCCCATTTAATCCCTTGCATTTTCCCCTGACAACCTCCTGGGGCAGGAACCACTGCTATCCCCATTTTACAAAGAAGGAAACAGAGTAATTCTTTCAAAATATTAATCAGATCATGTCACTCTTGCTTAAAAGCCTCTGGCATCTTCCCATCTCATTTAGATGAAAACCTGAAGTCCTCACTATGGTCTCCAGGGTCCTACAAATCTGGCCCTTGATGCCCTCCCGCTCTCCCTACATTCTTCCCCTCCCACTACTCAAGGGGACCCCCATCACGTTTCCCCACTCAGGGCCCCTGCCTGCCTCCAGTTTCACAGGAGATTGGACAAGGCACAGCTTGGAGTCTGGCAGGATCAGGTTTGATTCTGGATCTGCTCCTTACTGGCTGTATCACCTGGACTCATATACCTCTCCTCTCTGGTCTTCATTCCTCATCTGCAAACCAGGACCAGTGACACCGTTGCAGCAGGGCAGCTCCCGCTGGAAGGCAGTGTGGCTGTGGCTGCTGAGTCAAGGAGACCCAAATGTGGAATAAATAATGTCAGCCACAGCCCTGCGGCCCAATGGAGGGCTTTGGATGGCAATGTTTTCAGCTCACTGTGGGAACCAGTCATGACTGATCAAACTATCTGGAGCACGATGCCAACACTTGGGGCCCCACCCTGACAGAAGCAACGGGAACCAGGCTGTTGCTCCAGCCCGCGCTGTCCAGACTGTTTCCACTGCTGCCTGGATCCATCATTGCACTGGATGTGGCGACATGTCCGCCATCACTGAGTGGGCACAGAGTACAGGACTCTGTGCCTCTGAGTCCCTCCCAGTCCTTGACAGGGGTGAACATGTAGAAGGTCCCCAGGATGCTGGTGGGAAAGCCAATTTACAGCAGTCGTGGTGGGCAGGCCGGTTGTCTGGGAAGCAGCGGGCTTGGGCTCTCTCATCCGTTCCCTCACCAAAGAATTTAGCACACCCTCCTATGAGCCATCCCAGCACCAGTGGCACTGTTGACGTGGCAGTAGTTAGTCCCAATCCTGAGTGACAGTGCTCACAGTGGTGGCATTTTCACATACAGTTCAATCACACCCCCCCACTGCCTCATTTGGGGGTCAAGTTCAAATGGCAACAAGTGGCTTTTGCCACATAGCTACAGCTCTGAAAATCCTAAGTTACATTACTGTATTTTCACACTCACAGGCTCTGAAAAGGGGTTGGCTTTTCTCTCCATTTTTACTGCAATGTGAATTAACATGACATTTCCGTGAAACAGAAAAAGACCAGGTGACAGTGGTGAAAATAATAATACTCAACTTTCGGTGTATGTTTTTGGGGGGCTGGGTACTCTACAAAGAGGTTTTCATGAATTTTCTCATTTAATCCTCAGGACAGTGCTGTGAGTTAGGACTTTCATCATCCCCAATTTGCAGATGAGGAAGCTGAGGCTGGGACAGGGTGGGCGATTTACCCACGGTCACCTGCTGGGACGTGGCGGGGCTGTGGCTCCACCCAGGCTGCATACAGCTGTGGCCTAATTCTCACCAGTGGGCCTTCTCTTTGAAAGGTGGAGAAGAGCGGAGGGGCTGAAGATCTTCTCCGATTTACCAGGAGTGGAGAGAGGTTCATTTCATTTTCCAATCCCATCTCTCTGTGCCCTTTATCACAGTGTGTGGCACATCAGAGGGACTCAGTGACAGCCACTTTCTGTAAAGTGTCATTGGAGAGAAATGCTTTAGGGAAGAATTGTCTTCTCCAGGCCCCTGAAACTTCCAACCCTCTTCTTTGTTTTTTAATCCTCACCCAAGAATATGCTTGTTGATTTTAGAGAGAGAGGAAGGGAGAGGGGGAGGGGGACGGAGGGAAATATCAATCGGTTGTTTCCCATCTGAGCCCTGACCAGAGAATCAAACCCTCAGCCTAGGCATGTGCCCTGACCAGGCATTGAACCTGCAACCTTTGGGTGTCCAGAACGACGCTCCAACCAACTGAGCCACTGGGCCAGGGCCAACCCTCATCTTTAGAACTGATGCGTAGCCCCCACCCATCCACCCTCAGAGCCTAGAAGCTTCCCAAAGACATTCAGAACTCAGAGAGGAGGAACAGAGCATGGGGCAGTCAGCCCTCTCTCACTGGCAACTCTCCTCCCCCCAGCCAAGCCGGCGTGGCTCCCAGCCAGACCCGATAATAATAAAAAGAACTAATGTATACCGAGCACTTACTATATGGCCAGCATCTGCTAAAGACTTCCTAAATGTCGGCTCATTCGATCCTCTGTTTACAAATTAGGCAAAGGAAGCACACGGAAGCTGAAGAATTTCCCTAACTCACACCGCAGGTACTGGACGCCGCCGCCGGGAAGAAGTCCCGCCAGAAAAGAAGTGCGGTGCTGCGCCGCCTGCGGAAACGCGCCCCCCACCGTGCAGGCTGCTGCTCCCTGTCCAGCTGATTCTGAGTGGGAGCCTGCGCAGTGGAGCCGTAGGAGCCTGCGTCTGAGTCCTGGCTCCGCAGCTGACCAGCTACATAACTTCAGCCCAGTCCCTTGCCTTCTCAGGGCCTCAGGGGCCCCTCTGCACACAGAGCCCATCCGTAACATTTAAGCAGTCTGAGCATTCCCTGGGCTTGGGTTCCACGGCTCCTCTTTGTCCCTCCAGCAAAGCCCCTCATAGCCCTTGGGATCCCACCCATCTATCTTTGGGACGTCTGTGGGACCCTCTCATTCCTCCATCCCAGGAGCACTGTGTGGGTTTTGAGCCCCACAGATCTGAGTTCAGCCCCGGATCTTATCACCACAGGACCTGAGTCTAACTGTTACACGGTGCAGCGCCTCGGTTTCTCCCTTTGTGGGGTGCTGGCATGATGAAATACCATGACAGTACAAAGCACACAGAAAATGCTGGGTGCTCCTGTGGCCACACTCCATTCAGTCAGCAGTCACATTCTGTGAGTAGCCCTGGGCTAGAACCTGGGGTTTGTGCCTTCCTGGGGGGGGGGGGCGGTGAGAGGACAAGAAGCGAGTAAGCAAACTCACAAAGAAGAAA